AAAAAAAAATGAAACGAAAATGGAAGTAATCACACTTTCTCACTATTGTACATAATTTATTGTCACTAATTATTTAACTCAACAATAATGAACACAACGAAATAAAATTTTGAGAAATGCTAATGTCACGGAACGAAACTATTTCGTTTGTAACCACTAGATCATCATGTAACTATCAAAATAGTTGATCTAACGGTTACAAAATGCGACGGAATAGTTCTGTAACGGGACCGTAACATCTTCCTAAAATTTTATACTTTACAAAAAAAAAAAAGAATGTTGAAAATTTACGGTTTTGCTATGAAGCAAACAGTTGGCTCCATAGTAGAGCCAACCTTCTATATACATCAAGTAAACTATACCATACTAATAAAATTATTAGTGTTGTTTAAATATTCAGAAATATAGTATAATTTACTTGTTGCATTTAGAAGGTTGGCTTCATAACAAAACCTTGAAAATTCAGGACAACCTTCGAAAAAAAAAATATTTTTGAACAATGTAATTAAGTCCTAGTTAATGAATATCATTCTACAAATGTTCTCCCTTTAATTTAATTTAATTCTTTTGCACCCTAAAAATAGAATGTGCATGAAGGGTGACAACTCATTAGTTATTACCATTAATTTCCATCTTAACAACAAATGTCTACAACTTTGCTATTGTTTGTTTGAGAATGACAACTCACGTGTAATGCTGTTGCTATTTGAGAAAAAACATAAATAACCTTATCAATATATACTAAAATCATCAATGTTATCACCTATATTTTTGGTTTCTCTTGCACAATATTATGAACACATAATTTTTCCTGTACTTGGTGCTTATTCCATCTGCCAATCTCTGTACTGTCAAAAATCACATATTTGATCCTTGTATTGCTGGAAGAGTCGTGCTACTATATATTAAGTACACATGACAAGCATCTATAATCCTTTTTCATTAGATATTATCAAAATCAACAATTCAAGATTTATCAAAGTGGTTGATATATCAATTTGGCAAAGTAGATCAACTCTGGCTTGAGTTAATAGTAAAAGAAAAAAAAAAAAAAAAAAATCTATTAAGCAATCTGATGTAGTGTGTGGTAGACGAAAGGGAGAAGATGAAATAAACTCACGTGAAATTTCAATAAATCTATACTTATATTAAAAGCCATACTATTTACCAAAAATAGTAGCAAAAAAAGTCAACTCACATTTAATGCATACTTTATTTAGAAATTTTTTACTATATGCATTAATTGCTTGCATATATACATTTTCTATTCAAATATGATTAAAAAGATTCTTTCCTTACATAATTTTATTAACTTCTGCAATGATTTTACTGATATATATTATAATTCATATTTTTCGATAGTATTTTTAAATTTTATTTGAGTATATAAAAAACAAATATTTTTTTAAATTAATATTTTATTTATCATTTAAGAGATAATGATCACATCATTAAATGATACTACTGATGCTAGATAATAAATTAAAATAAATTAATTATTCTTTAAAATTTTGGCATGTTATTTATTTGTATTTATACTTATTATATAAGGTATCCTACTTACCAAATTTAGTAGATTAAAAAGTCAACGTAATTAATGCATTGCTATTTCTATCCAGAATTTTATTTAATTATTTTATTTATTTGTCTTATATCCCATAAAATCAGTTTAAGAAAAAAAAATCTCATAACATATGACAAGTCAAAAAAAAAGACGTAATATCATTACTAAAATAAAAAGACTTTATTTATTTGTCTTATTCCATATTAACATCGATTTTGTCAAAATAAATCCCATAAAATCAGTGAAGTCAAAATTTGTACGTAAAGTCTATCTATCAAAAAAAAAATCAGATTCAAAATTCTTTATCTAATTCTTTTTTTTTTCTTATCTAATTCATTCTTTTCCTTATCTAATTCCTTTTTATTATCTAATTGTATATGAAAATCTGTTCTGATTTTGTTCAATCCTCTAATTGTATTTGTATTATATTCCATAAAATCGGTTTAACAAAAAAATCCCATAACATCTAATAAGTAAAAAAAACAAAGTACGTAAAATCTTTACTAAAATAAAAAGGCTTTATTTATTATCTAATTTATTATCTAATTGTATGGAAATCTATTTTGATTTTATGGTACGTGCTACAAATTGTGCACCCGTGTTCAGGAGTTACTTAACGGGCAAACTCTGTGGAAATGACTCATTTAGTGCTTATGTCCCGTGCATATGGTATGTATTTTTATTACACATACTAGAAAATTGTGCACCCCGTGCATCGCACGGACTCTGTACTAATAAATGACCTTAAAATTGTGCACCCCGTTTATCACCCGTGTTCATATTTTGGCCTATTACATGTCACATACTATATATATTACGTACATTTTTTTATTCATTTATATAATTATAAGAATGGATAAATGACCTTAAAATTGTGCACCCCGTGCATCGCACGGTCTCTGTACTAGTTTGATGAATAAAAGTCGTGCCTCTCTCGAACAGACGAAGACAATATATAAAAAATCATAATTCTCCTATCCTATTCCTACTCAACTTGTCTGACAATGTAGTCTGGATAATTAGTTAGTTACCAAGCCTAATTAAATACTAAGGAAATAAAATAAAAGGCTAAATAAGTAGTACTAGGAAATAATTAACTAAATACGAAGCCGATTGCATTTGTTCAGGAATGTAATCGCGGTCTCGTCTCCATCATCCTCCCACTCTTGAGAAAGATTCGGCCGCGAATCCGAACCGGTCTCGTCTCCGTCAGGGTTGTCACCCCTGAATGACACCAAATGCTTGACATTGAAAAAGTTTGAAGTGCGAATGTGCGACGGAAGGCGGAGACGATAAGCATTACGATTGATCTTCTCGAGCACCTCGATCGGGCCAATCTTCCAGACAGACAACTTGTTGTACTCATGGGCCGAAAACCTGTCTTTCGTCAAAACCCCCCAAACAAAGTCGCCTACCTCGAACTCGACATGCCGACATCAAGCGTCCACCTGACGCTTATAAGAGAATGTGGTCGCCTCCAGCCGAGCACGAGCAGATGCATGTGTCTTCTGCAAATCCAAAATGAGATCCGAAACACGACGGTGAACACCTGCAAGAGACAGCAATACGACCAACTCCGAAAGACCGCGCGGTTGGACGACATAAGCGACCTGGAAGGGCTAGAACCCTATAGCTTGACTGACCGCGGAATTGTGAGCGAACTCGATTTGGCTCAAGCGCTGGTCGCAACTCCGCAGATGTCACCGACCAGACAGCAGGGCTGATTGCCCAACGAGCGATTGACCACCTCCGTCTAACCGTCCGTCAGAGGGTGGTACGCACTTCTGAAGTCCAAACGAGTGTTGGCCATACGCAACGAACTCTTTCAAAAGTAACTTAGAAACTGAGCATCGCGATCACATACCATAGCGGAAGGCAGGCCATGCAGCCGATAGACCTCCCGGAAGAATAATTGTGCCACGTGAACGACGTCGGTGGTGCGCTTGCACGGCATGAAGTGACCCATCTTTGAGAAACGATCCACCACCACGAAAATAGAATCGAAACCCTGTTGTGTACGTGGCAACCTCAACACGAAATCTATACTAATCGCTTGCCACGGACGGAACGAAGTCAGAAGGGGGCGATACAAACCGGTATTAGTCGTGACCCCTTTGGAAACCTGATAAACCCGACGCCGACCTACAAATCGCGCGACGTCACATCAGAGGGATGGCAAAAAGTACGAATGACTCACCAACTCAACCAACCGATAACGGCCCACATGTTCGGCACCATGAAAATCAGAAATTACCAACTGTCGTAGGCTGCAATCGGGCTTGTTGCTGCAAACGGCCCACATGTTGTGAAGGCTCAAAAGGACCCTTCACAAGCTCGTGCACTATCCGCTCAAAGAAAGGTTTCTCAACATATGCCTCCAGCAACACCTCGAAACCCACCACGGAGATATGCATGTCCGTCAAGAGTAGCGCCCGACGGCTCAACGCACCCACCACTCTGCTCGAAGCACCAGACCGATGCTTCAAAACGAACGTAAACTGCTGCAAGAAAGTCGTCCTAGTGCGCCAAGATATTATCTTGAAAGGCCAATGACGCAAAGCCTCATGGTCCGTATAAAGGACAAACTCTCGATGAAAAAGGTAATGACGCCAATGTCGGACTGCATGAACCACACATAAAACTCCACGTCATAATTGCTGTAACGAGCTCGAGGACCCGACAATTTCTTGCTAAAAAGTGAGACGGGGCAACAATCCTGGCTCAAAGCAGCAACAATGCCAACTTTCGACACATCACACGAGAACTCAAAAGGTCGTGCAAAATCGGGAAAAACCAAGACTGGTGCCGAAGTCAACTTGCTCTTAATAAGAGCAAAAGCAGTCTCAGCCTCCGGTGTCCACGAAAAAACCTCCCTGTAGAGGCAATATGTGAACGGGGCCATAATAGAACTGTAGTGTGAAATAAACCAACGGTAGAATGAAATAAGTCCATGAAAACTACGCGCTTCGGTAAGCGTAGTCGGAGTTGGCCAATCGCGGATAGCTGCCACCTTACTCTCGTCCACCCGAATGCCCTCGGCCGAAATCAGAAATCTCGAGAAAAGAACCGAATCCACCAAGAAAAAACACTTATGTGGTGCCGCAAAAAAGGACTCGGCAAGTAGAATAAGCAACATTTAATATTCTACACTTTAAATATTTTATAACGTGCTATAATTATTTGTATTAAATTATCCCACATAAGTTATCCATTATATAAAATTTAATAATTGTGTGTTATAAAATATGTAGGCCCATCTGTTTGTTTAAATTAAATTACCACAAAAAAAATCATATAAATAGATTTACATGATATTGAATATCTTTCAAATTCGCGTGAACATATTTTATATTCCATAAAATAAGGAAAGTTGCTATAAGTTTAAGATAAGATGTACATTAAATTTTTCAAACAATATTATCATGAACCAGAAATGTTAACAAAAAATATTAACCACAAATTTTGCGTAAAATATAGAATGATTGTGCATACATATTAGCTAAAAATAAACGAAAAAATGCAACCGAATCTAACCAAAATTTTTTTTTTAAATAATTGTCAGTAAGTCAAAATGGTGTGACTCTGTTTTATTATGAACTTTCCACAAATAATTTATTGACCCATTTTTTTTTTAATATATGTAGGGTATTAGGGATTTGATGGGCCGACCTTGGGAAATGGAGCTCGTCCATGAGCATCGGGAGACTAGTTTCGTGGCAGATTTTCTAGCTTCTTTAGCAGCTCGTGGAGGGGGTGGCTTGCAGTACCGATTCGATAGCCCGCCGGCGGGGGCGGGTTGGTGGTTATCTCACGACAACGCGGGAGTGTCTCACTCCCGGCGAATCGTGATCAGGGGCGTAGCCAGGAATTTTTTTAACCTGGGGCTGCATATTGTTGTAGCTATTATTGGAACTTTGTAGACATGGTCATGGGCCGACCCAGCATGTCGGTTCGGCCCAAACCGACACAAGCAGACCCGTTGACCATGGGTCTTGAACAAACCGGTGGTTTTGACCAGTTCGGTTCATGTACAATACTTTATAGTTTATATATTTTGAACATGCAGTTTTGGTTCCGAACTTGAACCGGAACCCGAGGTTTGTTTTTCTTTTTTAAATATTATTCTAATTATTTTGTATTTTTTTAATGAATCGGACGACCAGTAATCGACAATTCAATGAACCGACCCGTACATATGTTCGCGTCGGTTCAGGGTCCTCCAACTCTCGGCCCGGTATCGACGGTTTTGGCCTGTAACTGATTTTGGTTATGATTATAAACAAATTATCTGCTAACATATGTCAGTTTGAATTGGAAAAATTCAATCTCGAATCGCTTATATATTTAAACAAGTCAAACTCAAATAACTACTCGAACTTGTCGATCAAACAAATAAAGTCGAACATGTTTGCAATCAACTCTGTACGAGTTTACTCTTTGTCTAGGAAATGATGTCGATTAATTATTGGAGGCGAAAGAAAAATAAATAAATGAAAATGGATAACGGACTGTGGAATGAGACGAATCAAATTAAATAGTCCGCTAGAAAAGTCTGTATCAAGCTTAATTATTCAGCTCATTTGATATTTGTCAAGTCAACCCATTAAAAATTTAAAAGACAAGAGTGTGTTGGGCCACATTATAAACTCAATTGATAAAAATCTAATAAGGTCACAATTGTCATTTGACAATAAAGAATTATCTTTTTTCCTCACTATAATCATCATTTTTCCACCATCGTTATCAAATAACAAATTTTAACATGAAAATAATCTTGAGTCATTCAGTCCAAAAATTAAATGGGGCTATATAATAAATTACATGGGGCTAATGGGTCTATGTATAAATTTTTTTAGAAAATAGAATTAGCAAAAATAAGGGTAGCAAAAAATTACATGGGGCTGGAGCCCACCCTAGCCTTAGGGTGGCTCCGCCCCTGATCGTGATCAAGCGTTAGCGATATCGCTTCCTTTTTTTGCACCAAAAAAAAAAAAAAAAAAAA